GTCTGGGAGAAGATGAAGGACCTGGTCCACTTCAGTCCTGTCATTCTGGACCCAAACACTGCAAACTACATTCTCTATCTGTCTGTTGATCTGACCAGTGTGAGATATGGAATCATAAAGCAGCAGCTTCCTGATAATCCAGAGAGATTCACTATGTATGCAGATGTTCTGGGCTCTGAGGGCTTCAGCTCAGGGAAACACAGCTGGGAGGTGGAGGTGGGAGACCATCCTCTATGGTTTGTAGGTTTGGTTAAAGAGTCAGTTGACAGAAAGGGAGAGACAGGTGCTTCAACAGGTGATGGATTCTGGTGTTTAGCTCTTCACAATGAGATATACACTAATGGAGTTGGTCGGCCTCTCCGAGTGAAGAAGAGTCTCCAGAGGATCAGAGTCCAGCTGGACTATGACAGGGGGGACGTGTCCTTTTACGACCCTGAAGACACGACTCACATCTACACTTATAGAGACACTTTCACTGAGAAACTCTTCCCATATTTCAATATTGGAGAGTCTGGTGATGCTGAAACTGCTGATATCACAATCTGTCTGAAAAACTGATATTTCTCTGTAATGTTCAGTGAAGGTGGTGAGGTCAAATTCATTGATTCATCAGTTTATTATAGTTTTTTGTTATTCTATTCTGTAGATATTTTCAAAGAATTAAAGAATGAGAAACTCTAAATAGTATTTGTGGTGTAAACATCTAGAGTAGATTTACTGGCATCATTTTATTTTGAAATGTATAGCTACTTTTTTTCTAAAGAACAACAATGTTAAGTTTGCATTAAAAGGCTTTTGTTTTAAGTTACGTCATCACATAAAGCCTCATCTTACCTTATTTATCTTTAACATGAAACAAGTTCTTCATTGTGTTTCATAGTAAACTGTTTTGTGAATAAATGGTTCGGTTCCTTCAGGTATTTTATTTGCAGTTTAAAGTGTTTATTGATGATGATGCAGAATAATGTTAAATTATTTATCTTTAAGAACAAATATTAAACGCATCCATATACACATTTAATGTAGAGAGATCATTTTAGTTTTAATGTTTAGTCCAACAGGTTGGAGACAAAGAACACATTTTGGTTGCAGACTGTTTTCATCACAATCTGACCTCTGTTCAGTGTCTGGTAGAAAACGTCAGTATTTCTGATCCTACAGAACATTTCTATCCATCTCTCAGGGTTCAATCTAGGAGACAATCACAAGTGATTCCGCCTCTGGAGAAGATGCTTTATTTAGCAATTGTTTATCTATTTATCTCTGAAATAATGATTATAATGAGGAATATCAAAGCTGCAATGATCTGGTCATCATATATTTGTAGCGCCGCTCTCACCACGTAAAACGCCCAGATGTGATGAGCTCAGAAAAATAGCCTGTTTTGCCAGCTTTGTGACAACGGGCCTCATTCACCAATATCAAATCATCATTTATCATCATAAAGTTATTTCTTGTTCTCAAGAAAGTTCCTAAGAAAAGTCTACGATTCAAGACGTGTTCCGAAACAGCGGAATTGTTCGCAGGTGCCGTCTTAGAATGATGAATCCCGACGTGTCGTAAATTGAAAGCTCGTGCCCCGTTGTTCCTGTTTAGCAGAGAATAACACCCATAAAAGGGTGTCAGGGCCGAGTGCACACAGAGAAATGTCAAAAAGACGGTGCAAAGACGGTGGAGGCCTCGACTTCCAAAGAAAGACTTCTTTCATCTAGAGATAAAAGTGTTCATACGCTGAGAGAATAGACAGAGAAAGGTTGATTGTTCAACAGCATTCAGTAGAAAGTGAACTAAGTAAAAAGTTCAACACCAACACAACAACAACAACAACCCTGTTCTCCGGTCGAACGGTCCCTTGCCGAAAAGCACAAAGAAGGGATCACCTGTATCACCTGCACTCATTTCATCTCCTCGCAGAACTGCTGTCACTTCTGTCTCTTTACACAAGACAAACATCTCAACACAAGTATATATATTTAGTATTTTACAGATTTAGTTCACATGCACATATAAAAATAAGAAAAACAAAGAATACCTGCACATGTATGGGTGTGTCAATAAGGATGACTTTATACCTCTTATACGACCTGAGCCTATAGGTAAATCTACAGAGCATCTCTTTTATATGTACTCCATAATATGGCTGATTATATTATCAAAAGGTCTCACTTATAAGGTCAAAACATGTGTTTCCTCTTTCCTATCCTAAACCCTTAATCCGTAAACGTTCATGTAACAACATTAACAATTTTGCATATTATGCTGTCCTCTCAAAACTTAAAATACAATCCTGAATCATGAGATTTAAAGTGATGGATGTTCCACTCTGCCAAAGTGGAAACGAGATCTTTCTTCACCATGAAAATACAAGAAAAGAATGTCAACACAACCCCAACCTAAATCCATCTTTTTGCTGTGTGCCGGAAACCTCAGAAGATAAGTGAAGGTTTTAAGGACATCACGTCCCCGATGGTGTTCGGGGACGTGACCCAAAGCATCACGGCGGACGAGATCGTCTTGCAGTACGACGAGGAGCTCTTTAACTCAGCAGGGGTCCAATACGAAGAAGCACCATTAACAAAACAGAACCTTCGTCAGACAGCGAGACTCGTGCAGGAAGTTAGAGAGAGAAGAAGCTGGAGGACTTCTTGCTCAAGTGAGGCTTATTATTGCACATGTCAAATCTGGTCTGTGGAGAAATTAAGTTTGCATCATTTCCTTCATTCACTGGAAATATGTAGAAGAAATAAAATGAGCAAGTTCCAGACCAATCAGCAGGCATTATTGTAAATATGATCTTACCCCTCCACCACCACCAGGGAGCAGTTCTGGACTTGATTGACTAAATGTGAAACACAGTAAAAAGTCAACTCAGGCCTGTTAGGAAAACAGGTTTATGCAATATAAAAAAGTGAGACAAAGACAAATCACGTCCAAACTTTTTCCACCTTTAATGTGACCTATAACGTAAACAATTGCTTTAAAAAAAAACTGAGAAACTTACAATATCCTGGTTGCATAAATATTCACGCCCTTAAACTAACACTTAGCTGAACACCTTTTAATGTGATTACACTATAAATCCATCAGCATTACACTCTTGACATGGCGACATTTGGCCGCTCTTCTTTACAAAAGCGCTCGAAAGGAGTTCTGTCCCCTTCAGACCACCACAGATGTTCAACTGGATTGAGACCTGCGCTCTGGCTGCACGGCCGTTTCACACTTTAAACTCCTGTTTTTAAAGCTTTTGTTGATCTGGCGTCTGTTCAGGGCCACACACACACACACACACACACACACCGCACTGGTTTTCCCTACTGGGAGATCAGGGAGTCCTCAGGTGTGCTACCAGCATCTTATAGTTCTCTGCTGTCCTGCTCCGAAATGGTGGAACGAGCTCTCTGAAGACACCAGGACCACACAGAGCCTTCACCTCTTCAGACTCCACCTCCACTAAAAGACTAACAAATTGTAGCACTTCAATTGTACTTATAACGCCACTTATCTATAGCAAATTGTAAATTGGCTTATTTGATGAAATTGCACTTTCTTGTTTCTTGTTCTTCTGAGTTTGTGTCCCTATGGTTGATATGCACTTATTGTAAGTGGCTTTGGATAAAAGCGTCAGCTACATGACATGTAATGTAATGTGATGTAATGTAAAGTACCTGGCAGCCAGAGAGGGACGGACCTCAAGGCCTCTGGATCGCATCAATATTACAGCACTTGAGGCCGGAGAGAAGCAATCAGATATTCACACTGCTAACAGCGCTAACAGCGCTAACAGTGCAGACATCAGTAACAGTGGTGTCCGTGTTTACCTGAGGAGGAACCAGCAGGTGGACGCTACGACTCTGCATCGACAGATCTGTTCCTTTACCACTCGATTCCTCTGAATTCCTCACACTGCTTTCTTAAGTGATGCACTTGAGCTCGTAATTCCGAAGTTATTCCGAATTCCGGCATCGGCAAGGAGTCAGCCGTTGCCTTGGCAGCGAGAGGCGCCTGCGTCATCGTCGCCTGCAGAGACCCCGACAAGGCTGAGGAGGCCGTGAGGGAGATCAAGGTCAGGAGCCGCAGCCTCAACGTCCTCCACATGGAGCTGGATCTCGCCAACCTGCGCTCTGTGAGGGGATTCTGCAAGAACTTCCTCCAGAGGGAGAAGAGGCTTGACATCCTAATCAATAACGCAGGTGAGGCTGTCGGACGCTCGGGGAAATCCCTTCATGGGTTAAAACACCAGAGAAAATACCATTAATTATTATGGCAACATCAGCTAAAGCCCACGTGTTTCTACTTCCTCCACCTCCTGGTTCTGACCTCCTTCTCCACCTTCCGCGGCGCTTCCTGCAGCCATGCCCGGCGTCCTCGACTGGACGGACGACAGCTTCAGCATGTGTTTTGGCGTCAACCACCTGGGTCACTTCCTCCTAACCAACCTGCTTCTGCCCCGCCTGAAGGAATGCGCCCCCAGCCGGGTGGTCACCCTCACGTGCTCCACCTACAAATACCAGAAGCTCAACTTCCAGGACCTCAACTACAACCTGCTGCCCTTCTTCACCTACTGCCGCAGCAAGCTGGCTAACGTCTACTTCAGTCAGGAAGTGGCCCGCGTCACTGAAGGGAAAGGAGTGACCTCCTACGCCGTGCACCCTGGTAAGAGGCGCCGCGACGTGGGCCGATCGTGCACAATATTCACCTTATTCGCTTACGAGATACTACAAACAACACAGGAAACTGTTAAGCGCATTTTGTGGAAGTAAACGTGATGCTGAATTCATTCACTTGAACTCAAAGAGATTCACGTTTTCCAACCTAAACACGCAGCGTGTGATAAAGCGCACAAACACGCGTTCTTTGTGCCTCCAGGTTTGGTCCAAAGCGGCTGGACGTGCCACTACTCCGTCCTGTTCCGCATGCTGATGCAGGTGATCATGTGGATGTTTTTCGTGCCGTGTGAGGTCGGGGCTCAGACCGTCATCTACTGCGCTGTGTCACAGGAAGCAGCCAAACACAACGGGGGTTACTTCGTCGACTGCCGACCGGCCGCTCTGCGTCCCTTCGCCAGAGACGCTGCTGTGGCTAAAAAGCTGTGGGAGGTCAGCGAGAGGCTGGTGAAAGAGGCCTGATGGGGAAGATGTGGGCAGGTTGGACCTCATGTGCTTCTTTTGTGTTTGTGTTTTTCATTCACATCGGTGGTGTTGTTTGCAGATGTAAAGATTTAGTTGTGCAATTTGAGATGTTTTGCGTGAATAAAAGACTTTACAATGCTGTTGCCTGACTGGGTTTCATCCATTTCATCAACTGAGAGTAAAAGAGGGAAATATAATTTTTTGTGGCATTTCATCGAACAAACATTCAATTCAGAAAATATTCACTGCAGTTGAAGCCCTTCTTCCCTGTTGTCTTTCGATAAACTTTTCTAGTAAAACTATTTTCATTCAGAAACTGTTAATTGTAATTGTCTTAGTGTTGATTCAGTCAGAGTGTAATATTAAATTATCCAATGTTCCTCCACATCTGAGGCTTTGATTGATTGACATTATTGATTGACAATATTTTTTACTGCCGATTAATTACAATGAGGATGTAATCTTTCACGGACTGTGCTTGTAAAACACATGATTTGACGTGATTATTTCCTATAAAGTTTATATAACTTTATAAAACATTGTGTTTTAATGTGTTTTCATAGTAAAGAAATGTTGCAAATTCCATCATTTTTATTACGTTTACTTTTGTCACTTTGAAATTAATCGTTTTCTAAAAAAGCGCACAAACACATGTTCTTTGCGTATAAATAAAACATCACCACCTGTTGGTGACTAAAGTAATTGTCAGCTACTTACACAATAAAAAGGAGAGAAAGTGAAACTTAAAGCTGATTTATTTCCTCGTTGCTGAGCGGAGAACAGAGACGCATCACAGGGTGAGAAATCTCTACTAAACACAAGAAAACAACTATCGAGATCTGTAATTCAGAGTCAGATTTGATCATTCAGAGCAAATGGCTGAAAAAATCACTGTTGTTGAAAGTTTCCTGAGCTGCCATGTTTGTTCAGAGACGTTCAGAGATCCCGTGTCTCTGAGCTGCAGCCACAGCTTCTGTTCAAGCTGCCTGCAGCGATTCTGGGAACAAGCTGGAAACAAGAACTGTCCCATCTGTAAAAGTAAGTCCTCAACGGATGAACCAGCAGTGAACTTAACACTGAAGGGACTCGCTGACTCCTTTGCTGACAGACAGAATAATGGATCAACTCAGACGGAACCAGAGAAGGAGAAAGAGGAGGTGGTGTGTTGTGAACATGGAGAAGAGACTAAGCTGTTCTGTGAGGACGAGCAGAAAGCTGTGTGTCCTGTCTGTGAGTTCTCTCTCCACCAGAGTCACAAGGTGGTTCCTCTAGAACAAGCAGTCAGGAACCTGAAGGACCAGCTGAGATCTGACTTGAAGTCTCTGCAGGACAAGAGGGACAAACACCAACAAGTGGAGAAAACATACAATGAAGTGATTGAACTCTCCAAGGAGCAGCTGGTGTCCACAGAGAGGAAGATCAGAGCAGAGTTCAACAAGCTCCACCAGTTCCTGAGAGAGGAAGAGGAGTCCAGACTGGCAGCTCTGAGGGAGGAAGAGGAGCAGAGGGGGAAGACTATCAGCAGAAAGATGAAGATGATTGAGGAGCAGATCTCCTCTCTGTCAGAAAGCATCTCTGCTGTTGAAGAAGACCTGCAGAAAGACAACGTGTCGTTCCTCAGCAGTTATAAAGCCACTCAGACCAGAGCCAGAGTCCAGAGCTCACTGACAGATCCACAGCTGGTCTCAGGAGCGCTGATAGATGTGGCCAAACACCTGGGGAACCTATCCTTCAGAGTCTGGGAGAAGATGAAGGACCAGGTACACTTCAGTCCTGTCATTCTGGACCCCAACACTGCAGCCTACAGCCTCTATCTGTCTGATGATCTGACCAGTGTGAGACGTGGAGACACAAACCAGCAGCTTCCTGAGAATCCAGAGAGATTCACTGAGTATGCAGAAGTTCTGGGCTCTGAGGGCTTCAGCTCAGGGAAACACAGCTGGGAGGTGGAGGTGGGAGACCATCCTCACTGGCTGTTAGGTTTGGTTAAAGAGTCAGTTGACAGGAAGGGAAAGAGAGATGCTTCACCAAAACACGGAGTCTGGTGTTTATTCTATCGCAGTGGAAAATACACTAATGGAGTTGGTCAGACTGTCAGAGTGAGGAAGAGTCTCCAGAGGATCAGAGTCCAGCTGGACTATGACAGGGGGAACGTGTCCTTCTACAACCCTGAAGACACGACTCACATCTACACTCACAGAGACACTTTCACTGAGAAACTCTTCCCATGGTTTAGTGTTGGACAGTCTGGTGACGCTAAAACTGCTGATATCAAAATCTGTCAAACTGATGTTTCTCTGTGATGTTCAGTGAAGTCAAAGTGATTCTGTTCTTGTTTGATGTTTATTATAGTTTTTTTGTTGCTAATTTCTGTAAATATTTTCAAATTAAAGAATGAGAAACTGAAAATGAGAGGGATGATGTTCTAAATAGTATTTAAGTTTGCATTAAAAGCCTTTAGTTTTAAATTACCTGACCACATGAAGCCTCATCCTACTTTATCTCTGAAACTAAATATGGAAATAGAATTATTAATCACTGCTTATATTTTGTGTAATCTGAAGTATCTTAAATTCAATTCAGATGTTGTGTTTCCAGAGTTCTACTAAATAAAATACTTTATTTTCATTCACACCTTTCTGTTCCATTCTTCATCCTGTGTTCCTCTCATTGTTTAATTCTGGGTTTGTGTTGGTTGATGAGATGTAGAAGTACGTACAAGAGGTGAAGGACACTGTGCACCAACACTGATGAGCTGCAGCTGTAGAAGCACTAAAAAAGTGGATGTGTCCCCTTTAAAAGGTGATATTGTCACGGATGTGTTCATTAAATTGCATGAGATCAACCTGGTCAGCAAATATTTTGGTCAAAAACATGAACGACTTCAATCAATAAAAATACAAAGCTGACTCACTTTTCTGTTTAAATGATCATTTTATTGATGACACCGTCACATTTTCTTGAAGTCATAGAAACACGTGTAGCACGTAAGAGAACAGAGCACTAATCCAAAGAATCAGAGAACTAGAGGATTAATATTATTATACAGAAGAAACCCAGAGGGACACAAAGGGACAACGGTGAAGTAGAAAGAGGCGACTGCAGAGAAACGATGGAATAAAGTCAGAAACGAGGCAACGGGAGAAAGCGTGAAAGAGCAGAGAAGTCAACTCAGTGTTGTCAGTGCAAAAGTCAACTGGTTGTGCGGCTGCATGAGAAGCATCACTGGGCCGTCTGTGTGTGTCTGTGCCTCACGTTGTGTGACTGCGCCCCCTGCTGGAGCTCCTTCTCTCTCTGCTGCCTCTCAGTGAAGCTCCACTCAGTCCTGGTGCTCCTCGTGTTCTCTGAGCTACGCGAGGGCCACGTTCTGCACCGACAACACGGGGCCCCAGAGGAGAGCATCTTCATCATCATCGTCATCGTCACTGTCAACATCCTCCTATAGTGCCACATCATCAACATCATCATCTCCTCTGTATCATCTAGAGATAAAAGTCTTCATACGCTGAGAGAATAGACAGAGAAAGGTTGATTATAACAGCATTCAGGAGAAAGTGAACTAAGTAAAAAGAAAAGAAAGTAAACTAAAATAAAAACACCAACAAATAAAGTGTCCAGTTGACTGTCGTGTAAAGTGAATGCAGCTAAGCAGCAGTTACCTGCAGGTGTGTGATACTGTGTCTGATGTATATGTATATATATATATATATCTAACACAACCCCAATCTAAATCCATCTTTTTGCTGCGTGCCGGAAACCTCAGAAGATAAGTGAAGGTTTTAAGGACATCACGTCCCCGATGGTGTTCGGGGACGTGACCCAAAGCATCACGGCGGACGAGATCGTCTTGCAGTACGACGAGGAGCTCTTTAACTCAGCAGGGATCCAATACGAAGAAGCACCATTAACAAAACAGAACCTTCGTCAGACAGCGAGACTCGTGCAGGAAGTTAGAGAGAGAAGAAGCTGGAGGACTTCTTGCTCACGTGAGGCTTACTATTGCACATGTCAAATCTGGTCTGTGGAGAAATTAAGTTTGCATTATTTCCATCACTCACTGGAAATATATAGAAGAAATAAAATGAGCAAGTTCCAGACCAATCAGCAGGCAGTATTGTAAATATGATCTTACCCCTCCACCACCCCCAGGGAGCAGTTCTGGACTTGATTGACTAAATGTGAAACACAGTAAAAAGTCAACTCAGGCCTGTTAGGCAAACAGGTTTATGCAATATAAAAAAGTGAGACAAAGACAAATCACGTCCAAACTTTTTCCACCTTTAATGTGACCTATAACGTAAACGATTGCTTTAAAAAAACCCTGAGAAACTTACAATATCCTGGTTGCATAAATATTCACGCCCTTAAACTAACACTTTGCTGAACACCTTTTAATGTGATTACACTATAAATCCATCAGCATTACACTCTTGACATGGCGACATTTGGCCGCTCTTCTTTACAAAAGCGCTCGAAAGGAGTTTTGTCCCCTTCAGACCCCACAGATGTTCAACTGGATTGAGACCTGCGCTCTGGCTGCACGGCCGTTTCACACTTTAAACTCCTGTTTTTAAAGCTTTTGTTGATCTGGCGTCTGTTCAGGGCCTCATCTATTCACTCACAACATCACAGACACACACGTTAATACGTTACAAACAACGCTCTCTTTTTCTGCACAATTATTCCCTCCAGTAAAATACAATATTGAGCGTTTTTTAATCAGAGCTCAGAGAGTCGTCACTTCGTGTAGAATCGATACCCACAATTCTCTGATTAAGTCTCACTGAGACACAATAATTAGAGATTTAACAGCAGAACTACCACCACGGTTCAAGATGATGTTTCTCTACATAGTTTATGATTTTATCCTTTATCGTTTTATGATTTACAAATACTGATTTACTTATAGATATTTATTTTCAGCCTACAATGATGTTTCTATACAAACATAACTAAGTTGTTTTGTTGCCTATAGCTAAATGTGAACGTGGTAAAATGACAAATAACATTCTCTATCATGGCACACACACTATCTTTGTAAAGTCTACGAGCTATTCAAAGGTCACATGCCGGCTGACGGAGGAGTTCAAGGTTCAGTCTGCACATTTTATGGTGAGGTGAGATTTGATTCCCGTGGTACCAGATAAAGCTCACCAGGGTCGAATGATAATCATTTCCTTTAACCGTCGCTCCGCCCTGTTAGACTGAAGGTGCAAAGGTGAAACCTGCTGCTTTTTTCACTCACAAATTGTTATCATGCAAAGGTTTGGCTTCTTATGTTTGGAAGTACTGGACCCGATATCATGTGCTCATCATTTGATAAAGAACTGTTTAGCTTTTGTAAGAAAATGAAGCTTTTTATTTCCGAGAGACAATTGTCATGATCTGAAACATTAAGTAAACTAAAGGTAATCAGGTAAATAGAAACATCTACTCAGGCTGGTCTCATTCAGCATGTGTATTAAAATCTACAACTTTTCATGTGGCATCATACACAGTTATGAGGATACGATGACTGTATTCACACACACACACACACACACACACACACACACACACACACAATATCATATTCATACCGCACTGGTTTTCCCTACTGGGAGATCAGGGAGTGCTCAGGTGTGCTACCAGCATCTTATAGCTCTCTGCTGTCCTGCTCCGAAATGGTGGAAGGAGCTCTCTGAAGACACCAGGACCACACAGAGCCTTCACCTCTTCAGACTCCACCTCCACTAAAAGACTAACAAATTGTAGCACTTAAATTGTACTTATAACGCCACTTATCTATAGCAAATTGTAAATTGGCTCATTTGATAAAATTGCACTTTCTTGTTTCTTGTTCTTCTGAGTTTGTGTCCTAATGGTTGAAATGCACTTATTGTAAGTGGCTTTGGATAAAAGCGTCAGCTACATGACATGTAATGTAATGTGATGTAATGTAAAGTACCTGGCAGCCAGAGAGGGACGGACCTCAAGGCCTCTGGATCGCGTCAATATTACAGCACTTGAGGCCGGAGAGAAGCAATCAGATATTCACACTGCTAACAGCGCTAACAGCGCTAACAGTGCAGACATCAGTAACAGTGGTGTCCGTGTTTACCTGAGGAGGAACCAGCAGGTGGACGCTACGACTCTGCATCGACAGATCTGTTCCTTCACCACTCGATTCCTCTGAATTCCTCACTCTGCTTCCTTAAGTGATGCACTTGAGCTCGTTACGTTTCCCACTGCAGTCCGCTTACATATAGTGAGACGTGTGAGAAGAGGCTGATACAGTAGTCAAGCTTTTGCGTTTCTTTGTAATAACCTTCAAATAGGACGACAATGGAGGCGGCATCAGGTGTCTATTGAGGGTTTAAATACGAGTTACTAAAAAGTGTGACTTCAGGTTGGATAAAGCAGTCACCTAATTGCATATTGCAGATTCCTGCAAACAAGCTTCCTGATTCACCTCAATTTTCCAATAATGTTCATCCAAATAATAATCTCAATGCAGCAGATTCCCCGAGAGGCCAGAGGCAAACTTTAGGAGCAACAAGCATCATCTCGTCCACTCATCACTAAAACAAATACAGAGATTGTGTGTTTAGAAATGTATTATTATCGAATTGTTAGTATTAATAAGGGGGGCACAACAATGAGGCTTTGTAATATTGATTTGTATTGCACCTTCTGTTTTGATGTCTTTGACTTTAAGACAAAAAAGGTTTAACTTCACGGCCAATTTGGAATCTTATGGCAAAACCAGAGAACACAACAACACATTTATTTGTATTTATTCATGAAGTCGGTTGGACTGCTGTATTTATGGAGACGTTATGTCTTTTTCAGATGTGTGATGGCTGATAGCCTTTATCAATTTAAAATCAATGCACCTTCTCATATACGCTCATGGAGCAACATGTAGGTGGACATAATTTACCGTTTCTTCATCTGCACATTGGGGTTTGTGAGACAAACGTAAATGTTAAAAAGAGAAGCTGAAAGCACTTGTTGCACATAAATATATGTGTCAAAAGCTGCTGGTATGTAAATCAGCCGTAATGGTTGCTTCTTCAAGCATCATTATGACCTCATCATAACTGAAAAGAAATACTGAAATTAGAGTATAAATTATGATTTAACACAAGTCCCTTAAAACCTACACAGCTTAACAGATACAGTGTTTAGTTTGAATATTTACAGAGCCTTTGAGAATGTGAATAAAGTCATAAGGATTCCAAAATACCACAATACTTTGCTCCTCGTGACTTTATGACGGTGTATGAGATTCTGATATCACAAGATACAGATACAAAGTTGTAAAGATAACAGGGTGATAACAAGCATAGGTTTAACAGTCAAGAAGTGAAACAGAACACCGAGGTTCAAAGTCTTGTTCCAGTTTATGAGGGAGGGATTGAGGAGTATAATCTTCTGCTGATCTTCCATACAGAGAGCAGCATTTACTATCATCAATGATTAACCAGTGAAGGAGGTTGGTGAACTTGAAGTCAGATTCTGACATTGTTGAAAGGAGACACGACGATGTTACACCTTGAGAAATCTCTGAGGAATAATATTCCACCTGGACTGAGAAAAGACAAATTACCGAAAATATAATTTGGTGAGTTTTTCTTTTTTTAGGAACTATTTGAAAAAGTCAGAAAATGGCTGAAAAGATCGTTCTTTTTGAAAGTTACCTGAGCTGCCATGTTTGTTCAGAGACGTTCAGAGATCCCGTGTCTCTGAGCTGCGGCCACAGCTTCTGTTCAAGCTGCCTGCAGCGATTCTGGGAACAAGCTGGAAACAAGAACTGTCCCATCTGTAAAAGAAAATCCTCTAAAGATAATATTTGGGTGAATTTTGCACTAAAGGAACTGGCTGACTCGTTTGCTGAGAGACAGAAAACTGGATCAACTGAGACAGAAAAAGGAGAGACGAAGGTGGAGGTGGTGTGTTGTGAACATGGAGAAGAGACTAAAGTGTTCTGTGAGGACGAGCAGAAAGCTGTGTGTCCTGTCTGTGAGTTCTCTCTCCACCAGAGTCACAAGGTGGTTCCTCTAGAACAAGCAGTCAGGAACCTGAAGGACCAGCTGAGATCTGACTTGGAGTCTCTGCAGGACAAGAGGGACAAACACCAACAAGTGGAGAAAACATACAATGAAGTGATCCAACTCTCCAAGAAGCAGCTGGTGTCCACAGAGAGGAAGATCAGAGCAGAGTTCAACAAGCTCCACCAGTTCCTGAGAGAGGAAGAGGAGTCCAGACTGGCAGCTCTGAGGGAGGAAGAGGAGCAGAAGGGGAAGACCATCAGCAGAGAGATGAAGATGATTGAGGAGCAGATCTCCTCTCTGTCAGACAGCATCTCTGCTGTTGAAGAAGACCTGCAGAAAGACCAGGTGTCGTTCCTCAGCAGTTATAAAGCCACTTCAGACCAGAGCCAGAGTCC